TCGTCGATCTTCGCCCTTGGCGTGATGCTGGCTGCGATCGCCCCCAGATCTCATCTTCGCCCTTTGTACACTTCGTGATCTCGAGTGTCCATGGGGACAAAAGGGCAGACCATTGCCCCAAGCGGCCCTGCAACCCCGTAGACTTGAACAGCCAGGCCAACGTAGAATGTCTCGTCAGGACCCGGATCTCGCGTCCTACTAGCAAATTGTAATAGAGATCCAAGATCCTCAGCAGTGCCAACACCTCCTTTTCAGTCACATTGTAATTCAACTCGTTTGCCTTCAAAGTGCGACTGGCGAACGCCACCGGATGATAGATCCCGTCGTGTTCTTGCGTCAGCGAAGCAGATATCGCCTAATCACTGGCATATACGATAACCACCGGCGTTCTCGCCTCGTTGAAATGACGGAGGATTGGGGTCGTCGCGATCTTAGTTTTCAGGGCGATGAAGGCCCTATGCGCCCTGAACCACCTCTCGTCTATTGATCCTGTCAACTTCAGTTCCGTTGGGTCGTGATCTCGAGGGATCGGGTCATTCCGGTCCAGGATCTCTCTCAGATCTGATCGTTTCTCCAGTTCAGCAAACTCCACTTCACGTAGTTCGTAGAGTACCGAGGCATAGATCGCATAGTCTTCGATGAATCGGCTGTAGTAGACCAGACTGCCCAGGAACGACTGCATAGATCGCAGAGATCCGGAGAATGGCAGATCGGTCAACGCTTTCAGGTCTTTCGGGCTCGCCTCCAAACCTCCGATCGACACTCGATGTCCCAGATATCCTTCCTTATCCATGCCCCCAAAGCTCTTTGCTACACTGATCGACAAATTCCACTAATCACAAGCCTCCAACAGATCCTCCACTCTCCGGCACATTTGGTCCCACGATTCTGCCGCGATCATGATGTCGTCGATGTACGATCTCCGACCCAGCACCGACTCGCGATCAGGATCGTCCGCGATCCCGGTCTGGAACACATCCGTTGTGGCCTCAGCGTCGCCAGATCGCGAGATTTTCAAAACTCCATACAGCGCGTTGTCCACGAGGCGCTGATAGATCTG